GATAGGTATAATCTATTGTAACCCAAAACTGTAATTTTGTAACCCAAAACTGTAATCTTCATTGGTGATAGTGGGTTTCTAATTGCCGAGGCTGTGGATGTATCCCTAAGGGGTGAATCACATAAATCATGTGTTGTTGTGGTATTTTTTTATGTTTGCTTTATTTGTCGCAGTTGATTTATAGTTATATTTATCTACTTCGCATTTAGTCAATCATGTACACGATATTGAGTGGGATCCCGGTATTTGCGATTCCCAGATTCGCAAGCTAGGGGTTCACAAGAACCCTACACGTTGGAGTTACAATTTTCTCATAATCTGGCTATGTTTATTTATGGAAATTAGGGTTTCTTGGAACAAGTAAGCTATAATCTATGCATGTGGGTTATCAGTAATTCTATTACGCTGTACTTATTCTGAATTATAATTTATTTGAGGGAATTAGCAAAATATCAGTTTTGTTTGAAAAAGTTGCTGATTTATTCGAGGGAATTGGCAAAATATCAGTTTTGTTTGAAAAAGTTGCTGATGATTTCATTCGATAGTTAGGGTTTATATCAGTTCATTGGGACTTATAGTTTATATCAGTTAATTTGGGAGTGTAATGGATGATCTCCCAAAAATTAAATACATATGCTGATTTTCACAATTTTTTTTTTAATAGTTAAAAAAGTAACCAATCCCTTTGACTCTAGGCTTTGACCTAAAGGATAGTACTGTAATCTTAAATATATTGTCTATATTTTAAAAGGAAAAGTTTATATGGAATTGAGGCTTTAAGCAATCAAATTTGAGCCTACATCTAAAATTTCACTAGAAGATGTTGTTTTGATGCTCAAATATACTCAAATTGACCATCTCGACATCGATATATACATACATGGACATGACAAAAAAATGGATTTCAAGTTTTGGAAATAGTGTCTTTTGTAACATTTTTGGACCGTCAATCTTCAAGTTTTCATAGATATGTTGATCGACCATATTTTTGAAGCTTTAAACTTTATAAATAAAGATAAAAATATATTTTAAGACTATCACAAAGATTTCCAATATTGAAACTACATTTCTTGACCAAAAGAGTAAGTGTAAGTCCATGTGCTTGCATTTTGTTTATAGGTGCAGTTGGCATACAGATGCATCCGTAGCTGTAGAGGTAAGGTGCACCTTCAAATTTATTGTGGTATATAATTTTGATGTAAAATGTTCTTATGATTATCTCAAAATATGCTTTTATATCTAATTATAAAATTTTAAATTTAAAAAATAGGTTAAAATCAAGTATATATATATATATATATGAAAATCTTGAAAATGGACGGCGTAGATAATATGTTGTAAAATGCACTATTTATGAGACTTAAAATCTTTTTATTTTTCATGATCATACGTCTTGATGTCAAGATGATCAATCAAAAGGTTTTTTAACATTAAAACTACCTTTTCCGATAGATTTTTGAGGTGCATTCGTAGTTCTACATTACAAGGTTGCATCCTTATATAAACTTTTTCCTTTGTTTATTTAGACCCTCAGGATAAACTTATAATTCTGAGGAACAACAATTCTCATCTTTAACAAACTTTCAAATGAAATAGATGAGTTGGATGGCCTACTTTCTAGCCTTGAAGCGGTTTCAAATTTCGTAGCTTTCGTTTTGCTTAGAGGAATAAAGTAAGAACATTAATTTGAAAATGATATAAATATTAACTGAAAACAATATATTATACGTATAGTAAAACTCACTGCATCTGATAATTTTTTAAGCATAAAAAAAACTATCTACATGCTATACTCAAGACACGTGCGGAGCACATTCCCTTTGCTAGCTTGGCATTAAGCACTATTGGAAAAATCGGGCCGTAGGGGCGGCACGAGAGAGCTCAGCAACTCCGCTTGGGCCCCACAAAACGTTTAAATGCAAATCGGCTTCTTACCTTTTGATTTCTTAGAAACACCAACTAACCTGCCCTTGTTTCCAAACAATCTCAAAGGAATGCTCTTATTCCATATATGTTTTGAGCTAATATCAAAATACATTTAATTTTGACTTGAAGTAGTGGAAAAAGAGTAAAATGTGTAATAGTTAATGGGTGTAGTTTACATAAAGGTTGCAATCTTAAACAATCCAATTATAACGCACCTTTAAATTTTACCATAAATGTAATTTTAATATAAAAACTTTTTAATGTCGATATTTTGTTTTCTTTTCATATTCATACATCTCAATGTCTAGATAATCAATCAGAAGGTTTTCCAACGTCCAAACAACCTTTTATGATGGATTTTTTAGATGCATATTTAATTCTACATTTTAAGGCTGCAACTTTATGTAACCTTCTTCCATAGTTAAAATGCAAGGTCTATTTTGATCAATCTCCCGTTTGTATTCGATCATTTATTATTGCCGGTGAAACTGTTGGGCTTTTTAAGCGGCGCTCATAGAATTCGACTAGCAGCAGGAATGAGAAAGCCCATTGGGCCCTCTGAATTGACTGGGTTTGCCAGAAGCCTTAGTGGGAAAGCGGCTTCATACCTTCGATAAACACGAACTCAAACACATTCTCTTGCACAAAACGATTTCAAAAAAAACCAATCCATGGGCTAGATCTCAATGCCCATGAAACCCTCATTCTCTATCCAAAGAAAACGCAATCAAAGATAAAAAAACCTAAACAATCAAAGGAAAGCACACCTTCAAATAATGTTTGAGAAATGTGGTTTCAATATTGAAAATCTTTGTGATAGCCTTAAAATATATTTTTATTTTTAATTATAAAATTTAAAACTTCATAAATAGTGCAGATCCAACATATCTATAAAAACTAAAAATTCTTGAAAATTGAAAGTTCAAAAACTTGAAATCCATTTCTTCTCATGCATCTTGATGTCAAGATTATCAATTTGCAGATATTTGGACATAAAAACAACCTTTTCTAGTAAATTTTTTGAGGTGGGCATCAAAACAACCTCTTCTAGTAAATTTTTTGAGGTGGGCATCAAAACAACCTCTTCTAGTAAATTTTTTGAGGTGGGTTCTAATTTGATTGTTTAGAGCCTCAGCTCTATATAAACTTTCTACAAAGGAAAAAAAAAAAAAAGGCGCAACCTTAAACAATCCACACCTCCAAATTTCATCATAAGATATAATTTTGGTGCCAAAAGTTCTTAGAATGACTTCAAATCTATCTTTATCTCTAATTATAACATTTTAAACTCCAAAAATAGTTTAAATCAAACAGATCCATAAATACCTAAAACTATTGAAAAAAAAAGGCCCAGATAATTTGTTTCCAAATGCAACGGTTTTGAGACTCAAAATCTGTTTTCTTTTTTATATCCATACATTTTGATGTCAAAATATCAATTAGAGAGTTTTCCAACATTTAAACCACCTTGGATTTTTTAGGTGCAACTTAATTCTACATTTTAAGTTCGAAACCTTATATAAACTTTTTCGAAAGAAAAATCCCCCTCCATTCAAAGTTTCAAACAAAACCTCGGGCAATAAAAGAAAAATTATCTGGCTCTCATAGTGATATGCCAAAACAAAGAATATTAAGTGTCGAACCAAAGCAAAATGAGCAAAAAACAATCTTTATTTCTCAAAATGCATCTCGTATTAAACCGAAACCCTCTCACTTCCCTGCTTTTGTAAAGGGTGTTTTATTACGTAGAGAAGCAAGCAATATTTACATTTGTGCTGAGGCATGTAGCAATAAATAGGGGTGGCGCATGAGCCTACAACCCAACTTCATTTCTTCTACCATCCACCAAATCCAAGAAAACTGTTTCACAAGGAAAAATATCGCATCGTCAAATAATACATAATAATAATAATAATAATACCAACAATAACAATAATAATAATAATAATAATAATAATAATAATAATAATAATAATAAGTAATAGAGAGGGTACTAATAAAGCCAATGTCAAGACAAACAAAAATCAAAGAATAGATATAGATAGCTTCACTGCTGATCAAGAGGCTACCAAATACGTGCTTATGCACGTGTGCATTGAGATAGAGAGAGAGAGGGAGGGGTTTTTATTTTTTTCATTTTTGTTCTTTCTTTTTAAGTTGATTTGAAAACTTAAAGCAGGGTATTTGGGTAAAGGGAAAAGGAAAAAATTTATATAAGGTGTCATATTAGAAAGGTACACCCAAACAATCAGCTAGAGAAGGTTGTTCTGCGTTGGAAAATGCTCAAATCGATTATCTCAACCTGGAGATTCGTATACATGAAAAAAAAGAACGGAATTTCTAGTCTTAGAAATAGTTCATCTTCTAACGCATCCTTTTTCAAGATTTTCCTGTTGTTGTAGATGTGCTTGATCATCACCCATTCATGGAATTTTAAGTTTCATAACTCGGGACAACGATAGATTTTCATATTATTGCGGCACCGAAACTGTATTTTCGGTATAGTTTTGAGGTGCATCTTATTTCAATAGAATAAGTTTGACACCTTGTACAAACCTCACCCAAAGGAAAAAGGTTTGATAGGGCTGCAGCTCCATCAAAATAGGTAAAGCCTCCCTTCATAACTCATCAAAAATTGCAATTCAAGTATTGGAAATCCTTTACTTCGACCATCTTGGCCTGAATACCATGGTTGTGAAAAAAAAAAACAAAAAGATTTCAAGCTTTAAAAATAGTGTATATTGTAACAAATTATCTAAACCATTCATTTTGCCCTAAAAATAAGTATACAAAGATCTGCAAGATCTGTATCACTTTTTGAGATTCAAATTTTATCGTCCATGTTGGAAATTAATTTTAAAGCAATCATGCAGATTTCTGTTGCCGAAAGTGCTTTCCAGATAATGATATAAGGCGAAGCTTTATTTTGTTTTCATAAAGCCTAAGCTTTCTAGAAACTTCATCCGTAAAACAGGCTATTTGGGTAGACAAAACAGGCCCACCATTTGTTTTGACTGGTTTTCTACCAAGGCTATTTGGGTAGACAGTTCACAACATTGTTTTTTATTGGTTTCCTATCGAGTTTTTGTTTTGGACTAGACCAGCTTATCCATCTTGAAACTTGATAATTATGCTTCACCCCACCACTTTCACCACTTTAATACAAGGTTATATCAGTTTAGCCATGCATTACTACCTTCCACCCGGGGAAAAAAAAAAGGTGGGGAAAAAAAGAACCACATGAACAAGTGTGAAAAGTGGAAACAAAACTGAGTGGATGACGAAATGCATACAGATAAAGATAAACAAGGGGAAAACCGTTCTCCAAATAACAAAATGAAATGGATATCTTCACTGAATTGCGAAAAATAAGGAAAAAAAATCAAGTGAATTTATAATAACAATAAAGAGAAGAATGATGAGAAGGTAATCCCTAAGTGCACATGACAGTTTTGGGAATCTCAATAACAAGAAATTGAGAATAAAATCGAAGGCTAAACAGGTTTCATGTGGCCACCTATCCAAAATCCAAAACAGAGTAGACAAAATACACCAAATCTCCAATATATGTGAATGTGTTCACCAGTAAATTCAGAAAAACTTTTAGGGGGAAACGGTCTGATCAATTAAAGCATTGGAAGAGAAGCAATCAACAGCATTTCACATGCTCTTGCTCAAGACTGATAAGGAAAAGTCATAAAGCCCCAAAAAAATAAAAAAGTAGAAGAAAATTGGGTGGAGAGACACATGAACATCATAAACAGCATTGAATCGCAAAATCGCCACACCAATTGCCAAACACAGAGTGAGTTAATCTAAAAACCAAATAATTGAACCATAATATTCCCCCATTGAGTAACAATATTGGGAATTAAATCCAAAGGAATAGATTAAATAGATTACATAGTAAACAACAAACAGAGACGATATATGCGCATTAGAGATGATGAAATTAAAAAAAAACAAAAAAACAGGATAATCACCAGAGATCCACAGAAAACCACAAAAACAAATTCAAAGAAAATGTTTGCGCTATATCTTTACCAAACAATCAAACCAAGCAAGATTAAGCAGAAAAGTACAAGACGAAAGGAATAATTACCTCAGTGATCGAACAGCAACATGTTGAGCGAGAAAATGGAAGAAGAAATTAGCTCCATGGAGGAAAACCACCACACCAGTACAACCAAGCAGAAAGAGCTCCAACATCTTCTCGTTCTCTAAAACCCTAGCTTTTCCTCTCTGTTTCGATCACTTAAACGCAGCGTTCTCCACTCTCTCAAACCCTAGATTTTGTGTATCCTCTAGAAAAGCCTAGCTTTGCACAAACTCAACAACCAAGAAACCCTAATTTTCTCTCTGAAACTCGAGCTGTTCTCTCTCTCTAAATATTCGAGCCTCTGGTTAGAGCCATCGACTCTGACCGCCCACCCCACTTGTTTTCGGAGGGGTAGGTATCCTATGATCCACATGACCTTGAAATGAACGATATAAGTGTTTACTACTGTTCGATAATTTGACGGACAGTAGTGATGCTTGTGATTGTGGTTGTTTTATAGTCTTGATGATCACAGAACACCTTTTCCACGGTTGCTTGACGCCACGTCAGCATGAATGTCCCTGACGAGAGTGCCCTGACATAAAGACAAATGACACTCATATCCCGAATTGCCTTGCAATGAAAAAAATAAAAAAAGAAAAATGGTTTCATGGGGCTGCAGCTCAATTGACCTTACCTAATAACTATCTAAAATGAAATAAAAAAGTAAATCTTTACATCTTGACTTTAATATTATGGTTGTGGAAAATAAATCGGATTTCCATATCTAAAATTAGTGTATGTTGTAACAAATTATCTAGACTGTCTATTTCACCTTGAAAATAAGTGTTGACAGATCGATAAAATCATTAATATTTTTTTAATTTCAAATTTTATTATTGGTGTTGAAATTTAATTTTAGAACTATCATGTAGATTTCCTTTACCAAAATTGCTTTCTGAGCGAGATTTGAGGTAATGTTTTATTTTCTTTTCATAAAACCTATGCCTTATATAAACTCATATGTACACAAGGGTGCGACCTTGGCTATATGCTATAAAAAATATAGACACACATGTTCTCGGGTTTTACCATATGTCGATAGTTGGCGGACAATGGCAATATACTTATGACCCGAACCATAAATTTTACCGTTATTTGATTCAACTGCCTATAATCAATGCAAAGCCTCATAGACCCATCATTCTTTTCACAAAAATGACCGATGCACCCCAAGTTGGCACACTGGGTTGAATGAACCCCTTCTCTAAAAGGTCCTACAATTGCACTTTCAGATCCTTCAATTCTGCTAAGGTCATCCGCTATGAGGCGTTATATATGGGAGCAGTGATAGGGACCAAGTATATCTCAAACTCTATATCCCTTACTAAGGGCAAATAGGACAACTCCTTGGGAAAAACCTTTGGGTACTCCCTCACTAGTGGGATCTCCTCCAACTTTTACTGCACGTCCCAATTTTCTACTAGATAGACTGAGTACCCAACGCATCTTCTAGCTAGAAGACGATAAGCCTGAAGAGCTAAAATAAAGTATATAGGGGAAGCATCATTGATACAAAAAAAGTGCAGCGCAGATTGGGTAGGGGGTTTAAAGATTACATTCTTATCAAAACAGTAAATAGTGGCATGGTGTGTGAACAATTAGTTCATGCCTAAAATAACATCATAGTCCTGGATATCTAAGAGTATCGAGTCTATAGGCAGGACACACCACTCAAGCAATACCCTACACTGCATGTACACTATAACAGTTACCAAGGAGTTCCCCATAAGCATGAACACTTCTAAAGTATAATCAAGAGGTGAAAGTTCAACATTTAGATGACGTGCAAAATAAAGTGCAACAAAATAATAAGAAGAATTAGGGTCTATCAGAATCTTAGCCTCTCTACCATAAACAAATAGTATACATCGGATCACTGAGGTAGAAGACTTAGCCTCCTACTTCATGAGTGCGAGTACCCGACCCTGAGTCTTTGGTCTGTTATCTAGCTTCATCATAGGGCAATATTTGATCGGGTGGTCAGGCTTTCCACATCTGAAACATGCTATCATCTTCTTGTAGTACTCATTTGCATAGTGGTTGCTTATCCTGTAGTACGAGCATGTTGGGCGTTGATTCTTCCTCACATCGCCTGATAAAATCTTAAGGGTCTTCACATTGACTTGCTTAGTCTTTCTCCTGAAGTCACTCTTAGGCGGCGGCTGAGTATTCCTCCAAAAAATTGCCAAATGGTATTTATAAATAAAATATCATTACTTTTTGTTTAAAAAATTATTTTAACATGTAACCTAATAATTAAGCGAGGAAAATTTTAAATTTTTTACCAAAATATGACATTTTTGAAGTTAGTATCATGAAACTTTATTTGTGGAATACCCTTGTCATTTAGTAAAAATATAAACTTTACCCCCTATGGAGATGACAAAAATATTAATTGTCTTGTAGTGATATTTACAAAATTATTTTTACTTAATGAGGAATATATCACAAAAGGTAACTTAAAAAAAAAATAAACCACAAAGCTAGTAATTCTACCATTCATAACTCATTATATCATTAACCTTTGTAATTTGAAAGGTTGTGAACTTTAGAGAATAT